ATATCCTTCCCTTCAAGGCTCAGGGGTCCAGGATTATCTTCTGTGTCTGTGTTAATTGGTTTCCCTTTTCTTTGTTGAAGAGGGTCTGTGCCGTCTTTCTGCCTAGTCCGCCATCTTGTCGGCCACTCTTGTTCACCTTATTCTAAAGACTATGGATTAAATAGCTCCTTTTTCTGCCATCTTATTAGAGTAATAACCTCTGACAGTGGAAACAAACAGTGGAAAGAGGAAAGAAAGAAATCTAAATGATCAGTTTAAAGCTTAGCTTTGAAATAGGAGATAAGGAACAGGACCTATCATTTATTGCTAATAATCATTGACCAACAGACAGTTGTCAATTTGTTATACTGTAGTGGCTCATGAGTTGCTGTGAAGCTGGAAGATATGCCACTATTATCTCAGATACCAATAGGGTCACCCATAGGGGACAGGTTTCAGTGGAGCTTCCAAAAAAGACAGACTAGGAAAAAGACCTGACAGTCTGTTTCCAAAAATTAGCAAACAAAAACATTCTGGACAACCACAGAACATTGTCCAGTACAGTGGCAGAAGATGAGACCCTCAAGTTAGAAGACATTCAAAATACTACTGGGGAAAAACTGCTTCCTCAGAGTAGAAACTCAAACCAAACCCACTGCCATTGAGTTGATTCTGACTCATAGCAACCCCCATTGGGGGTTAATCTATGGGAGTAATTGCTTTATCTTCCTCCCACGAACCAGCTGGTAGGTTTACACTGCTGGCCTTCTGGTTAGCAGCCAAATGCGTTATTTCCTACCCCACCTTGACCTTAATGACCCAGATGTAGTAAAGCCTTCTGGACTTTCATATGCTGATGTAGCACAACTCAAAATGAGAAGCAACAGGTATAAATATATAAAAACCGGAATGTGAACTGTACGAAGTATGAATCAAGGATAATTGGAAGTTATCAAAAATGAAGTGCTTGAAGATCAGTATCTCAGGAGTTAGGGGGATGAAATGGACTGGTATTGGCCATTTTGAATAGGACAATCATTTGGTCTACTATCCCAGGAACAAACCAGTATTGTGTTTATTGTCAAAAAGAACATTTCAAGATTTATCCTGAAGTACAGTGCTGTTAGTGATCAGATAATATCCACGTGCCCACAAGAAAGACTGGTGGCACAGCCTCGAGCCTCAGCAACATGCAAGCCTCCACAGTATGACAAACTGACAGATGAGTGGTAGTATTTCCAATACCAGCATAGTCACCCATGATGGACAGGTTTCAGTGGAGCTTCCAGACTAAGGAAAAAAGGACAGGGCCATTCACTTCTGAAAAAATTGGCCAGTGAAAACCTTATTGGACAGTGTGACTTAACCTCTTAGGCTAGGTCTTCTCACATTTCAATATTCAGTCCCCTGGTTTCTAAAATTTCTCTTCCTTGGTTGATATGTGAAGGAAGGGGTCAGCAGACGGTCTTTAAGTATTGTTCAAATCACTCCAAAATCTCCCTAGGCTCAATTCAGGTATTATTTTTTTAAGATGACTCATTTCTCATTTCTTTAGTCATAGAACAAAAAAACAAGACCCCAAGATTCAAATTCAAATCCTGAAGAATTTTCCCTATTCTCATATTTATCTTGCTTATACTCTGGGTACAGCAACGACAGTAGAAATGATAATACAGTGTGATAGTGTTCTATGATACATATGAGTAAAAGTCTTCTGGTACTCTGAGGAGGGAGTAATATACACTCTCTTCAGAGTCAGGGAGGCTTCAGAACCCTAGTGTTCCTGGAGGTGCACTTGGAAGATATGGAAGTTCATGGAATAGTCAGGGGATGGTGTTTCCTTTTGGAAAGAGTAAATGGAACAAGGTAGCAGAAAATGCAGGTGAAAGCCATACTGCTTCAGAAAATGAGAGTGAACAGTAAGCACAAGCAGAAGAATCCTATCATTTATGTCTCTTAGGTAATTTTCAGCACTGCAGAATTTTTTTTTTTTTTTTTCCATACTTGACCCTTTACTTTTGTAGACATGGTGTTATCAGAGTAGCTTGAAGGCAGGAGATCAGAAGTTTCTCCAAATAGGAGGGCTCTCTACTAGTCAGGAGGAAAGATGATAAGGGATTAAATCAGGAATGTTTCAGTGGCAATAGAGAAGAGGGACCCATGGGAAGATTTCAGGGATAGCACAGCAGAGTATGAAGTGTTCCTTTACTATGTAAGCGCTAATAGTACTTGGCAAATTAGGCTTTATCTGACTCACCCTAGCAAATATTAGTTCTCTGTCTCATAAGCTACAGTGTACTGTAAATTTCCACTAGATTGTCAGTTGTTTAAGGCAGGGATTGTATCTTTTCATTTGTTGTGTTCCTGGAGTCTTCCATGACATGCAAAAAAAAAAAAAAAAAAAAAGTGTGTGTGTGTTGAGTGGTTATCATAAATGATTGAAGATTACGGGCTAATACACAATGTAAGTATTAGCATTACAAGTTCAATGATAGCAGGATGCTACTGATTACCATTTAACCTAAAGTTTTAGCTATTTATTTTGAAATCTCTTTATTAAACTGATAACTCTCCCATCCTGCAAATTTCCATACGGGCTAGCTCCAAAGTCACTATTTTCTTCTTGTTGTTTGCCATCGAGTCCCACCGACTCATGGCGACCCCTCCTTGGGTTTCCCAGGCAGTATCACTACGGAAGTAGATTGCCCAATGTTCCTTCTCAGGACTAGCTGGTGGGTTTGAACTCCCAGCCTTCTGGTTAGCAGTCAAATGCCTGAGGCACTATGCTACCAGAGCTCCAATTTTCTTCTTAGCAGACTTTATTGAGTAGTATGTGCCAGGAGTGTTCTAAGAATGTTTACAGGACATGGGAAGTATCGCTTTCCTTCAGTTTTAGTGACCGCGAATCAGGTTCAAGTTTCTCAAACGCAATAGCAGGCTAGCGTGCCGGAACCAAATAGCTGACGCTCGACTTTCCAGACGGAGAGATACTCTGTAGTGGTAGATCGATTGTTTTCGCCTGGCGGAGGCTAGTAAAGAGAGCACCGAATACCCCAAGGCCAAGGAAAGGAGATGAGGCCAGGGCGTCGTCTGTCTGAAAGTAAACTGGAACTGCTAAGATTAGCGAGTCTGCCTGCAGACTTCTTGGTGTGAACCAGGCAGTACGGAGAGTTCAGTCATGTTTGCTCCTGCAGTGATGCAAGCTTTGCGCAAGAACAAGACGCTTCGCTATGGAGTCCCCATGTTGGTGAGCCTATGAGAGAGAAGTTTAGGGGTGAGATACCGGAAGGGGTGCAGTCTTTTGCTTTGCTGGATAGCCGTAGCTCAAAACAAACTCACTGTCCTCCAGTCGGATCCTACTCATAGCGACCCCTTCTTGGGATTCCGAGGCAGTATCTCTACGGAAGTAGATTGCCCAACATCTGTATTATGTGGTGAGGAGAACAGGGACCTGGGCTAGGAAAGGGTTTGCGGTGGGCTGGGAGCTTTTTAGACAGTTCTTCCTCTGGTGGTGTAGTGGATAAGGTATGTGGCTGCTAACCAGAAGGTCAGCGGTTCAAACGCACCAGACGCTCTGCGGAAGTTAGATGGAACGGTGTACTTCCGCCGCTGAGTCAGAATCCACTTGAGGGCAGTGAGTTTGGTTTGGCTTGAGGTTCGAACCCCCCACCCCCACCCCCCAGCCTCTCTGCCGGTGAAAAATGAAGCAGTGTGCTTCGGTAAAGATTGTTGTTGTTGTTAGGTGCTATGGAGGCCTCTCCGACAGATAGAGACCCTGTGTACAGCAGAACCAAACATGCCGGGTCCTGTGCCAGCTCCGCGATCCCTGCTATACCTGAGCCCATTGTTGCAGCCACTGTGTCAGTCCATCTGGTTGAGGGCCTTCCCCTTTTTCGTTGACCCTCAACTTTACCAAGCATGATATCCTTCTCCAGGAAATGGCCCCTTCTTACAACTTGACCAAAGTAATTGAGACGAAGTCTGGCAATTCTACCTTCCAAGGAGCATTCCAGCTGCACTTTTTGTAGGACAGATTTGTTCTTTTAGCAGTCCATGGTACTTTCAGCATTCGCCACGACTCAAAAGCATCAACTCTTCTTGGTCTTCCTTATTCATTGTCCAGCTCTCACATGCAGATGAGGCGACTGAAAATACCATGGCTTGTGTCAGGCGCACCTTAGTCCTTAAGGAGACATTTTTGCTCTTCAGCACTTGAAAGAGGTCTTTTGCAGCCAGTTTGCCCGGTGCTATTCCATGTCTGGAAGCTCTGGTAGCATAGTGCCTAAGGCACTTGACTGCTAACCAGAAGGCTGGCGGTTCAAACCCACCAGCCACTCCTCAGAAGGAAGATGGGGCAATCTACTGCCTTGGAAACTCAAGGAGGAGTCGCTATGAGTCGGGTCCGACTCAACGGCACATAACAACAACAACAACATACGTTGTCCAGTTCTGTGACAGCTGCTTACATTGGCATTCATTGTAGAACCAAGTAATGTGAAGTCTTTGAAAACTTAAATCTTTTCTCCATTTATCGTGTTGCTGCTTATTGGTCCAGTTATGAGGATTTTTGTTTTCTTTATATTGAGGTATAATCCATACTGCAGACTGTACTCTTCAGTCTTAATCAGTAAGTGTTTCAACTAATCCTCATTCTCAGCAAACAAAGTTGTGTTGTCAGCGTATCACAGGTTGTTAATGATTTTTCCTCCAATCCTGATGCCACGTTCTTCTTCATATAGTCCAGCTTCTCGAATTATTTGCTTAGCATACAGATTGAATAAGTATGGTCAAAGGATACAGCCCTAACACACTCCCTTCTTGATTTTAAACCATGCAACGTCCCCTTGTTCTGTTCGAAGGACAGCCTCCTGATCTGTGTACAGGTTCCTCATGAGTACAATTAAGTGTTCTGGAATTCTCATTCTTCTCAGTGTTATCCACAATTTGTTATGATCCACACAATTGAATGCTTTTGCGTAGTCAATAAAGCAGAAGTATAAAGCAGAAGTAAACATCTTTCTGGTATTCTTTGCTTTGAGCCAAGATCATCTGACATCAGCAGTGATATCTCTTGTTCCATGTCCTCTTTGAATCCAGCTTGGATTTCTGAAAGCTGTCAGTATACTGCTGCAACCGTTTTTTAATTACCTTCAGTAAGATTTTACTTGTGTGCGAGATTAATGATAATTGTTCAATAATTTCCACATTCTGTGGGATCACATTTCTTTGCAATGGGTACATATATGGATCTCTTGCAGTCAGTTGGCCAGGTAGCTGTCTTCCAAATCTCTTGGCATAGCCGAGTGAGTGCCTCCAGCAGGGCATGTGTTTCCTGGAACATCTCAATGGGTGTCCTTTCAATTCCTGGAGCCTTGTTCTTCACCCACTTCGTTCAGTTCAGCTTCGACTCCTCCTTCAGTATCATTGGTTGTTGATCATGTGCCACCTCCTGAGATGGATGAACATCAACCAGTTCTTTTTGGTATAATGACTCTGTGTATTCCTTCCATCTTCTTTTGATGCTTCCTGCATCATTCAATATTTTGCCCATAAAATTTTTAAGTATTTCAACTTGAGGCTTAAATTTATTCTTCAGTTCTTTAAGCTTGAAAAATGTTCTTCCTTTTTGGTTTTCTAACTCCAGGTCTTTGCACATTTCGTTATAATAATTGACTTTGTCTTCTCAAGATGTCCTTTGAAATCTTTTATTCAGCTCTTTTATATTGTCATTTCCTCTATTTGCTTTAACTACTCTCTGAGGGCAAGTTTCAGAGTCTCTTCTGAAATCCATTTTTGTCTTTTCTTTCTTTCTTGTCTTTTTAATGACCTTTTCCTTTCTTCAGGAGCTCTGGTGGCATAGTGCCTAAGACATTTGACTGCTAACCAGAAGGCTGGCAGTTCAAACGCACCAGTCAGTCCTCAGAAGGAAGATTGGGCAATCTACTTCCACAGTGATACTGCCTCGGAAACCCAAGGAGGAGTGGCCAGGCATTGGATCTGACTCAATGGCAGTGAGTTTGGTTTTTTTTTTTTTGGTTTTGTTTTCTTCACGGATGATGTTCTTGATGTCATCTCACAGTTCTGGTTTTTGGTCATTGGTGTTCAGTGCCTCAAATCTGTTTTTTAGATGGTCTCTGAATTCAGGAGGGATATAGTCAAGGTCATGTTTTGGCTCTTTTGGACTTCTTTTAATTGTCTTCAGCTTCACCTTGAACTTAAATATGAGCAGCTGATGATCTGTTCCACAGTCAGCTCCTGGCCTTGTTTTGGTTGAAGATATTGAACTTTTCCATCGCCTCTTGCTACAGATGTAGCCAGTCTGATTCCTGTGCACTCTGGCAAAGTCCACGTGTATAGCTGCTGTTTGTGTTGTTGAAAAAAGGTATTTGCAAGTTGTTGGTCTTGCAGAATTCTGTCATGCGATCCCCAGTGTTATTTCTATCCAAGGCCAAATTTTCAAACTACTGATGATTAACAGCCTTGGAAACCCTATGGGGCAGTTTTGCTGTGTCCTACAGGGTTACTATGAGTTGATATCAACTGGATGGCTTTTTTGGTGGGTTCCCCCCTCCCATGGTTGTTACCAGGATCTTGCCTGCTTAAGAGTGTGATATTTTCTCCCATTTGAGCATGTTTCTTGTTTATATTTCAATTTCATTCTTGAGTAAAGTGAAGCCCGGAGAGCAGTATCAAGTCTGGGTGATAAGAAAGCTTGCATTTTTTCACTGAGCAAGACCCTTCACTAAATGATTGGGACTATATTTAATTACCTAGTATATCTGTACAACTTTGGGCATATCTGTGGTTCACATTCCTACTTGTGAACTGGCTTATTTCTTCCAGTGTTGTTGTGATGAATTAAATAGTAAATATATACATTAAGTACTTACCTTCCTTCCTAGGAGTGAATTGCTGGGTCATGTAGTAATTTTATATTTAACTTTTCGAGGAACTGCCAGATTGTTTTCCAAAGCAGCTGCACTATTTTACATTCCCACTAGCAGTGTATAAGGATTCCAGTTTTTCCTTATCTTCACCAACAATTGTTGCCCAGTTTTTATTATACGTCGCTCATGGGCTGTGAAATAGTGTATCATTTGTGATTGAAATACATTTCCCTAATGACTAATGATAGTGAGCATCTTTTTAGGTACCATCCAGGTGATTGTGATCTATAATGACCCGCTGTGATCCATTAGAGCTGCCCCATACATTTTTGTTGGCTGTGATGTTGAGGGAAGCAGATTTGCCAGCCTTTTAGTTAGCAGCCAAGTGCTTAGCATATGTTTATTGACCATGTGTATATCTTCTTTTGGGGGAAATGCCTATTCAAATCCTTTGCCTGTTTTGATAATTGGGCTATTTGCCTTTTTATTGAACAGAGATTTCCTTAAACACCCGGAACCAGTAAGTCTCCCAGTCTTTGCTAGAGTCTTTGTGCTTGTTTGGACACACCTTCAACACAGCCGGGCATTTTACAACTCTGCCTTGGCCTTCACTTCTAGTTTACGCATAGCCTCAGGTTAGCTGTAGGTAAGAGTTTATAGCCTTCTCAAGCCTTCCCTGAGCTGGCATGCTGCTCTGGGCATGCACACAGTTCTATTCATGCCCACTGCCTTCTAGATTCCCAGGAATATGTCCATGCTTTTCAGAGCTCTCTGTGACATCTTGTTCCTCATATTTTCCTTATAAGCATTTTGGTTAGCCTGTTGTTTGCCCTGGTTAACGTGCTTGGCTGTTAACTAGAAGTTTAAAGATTCTGGTCCACTCAGGCCTTGTGTAAGAAAGGCCTGGTGGTCTACTTTCCAAAAATTAGCTGTGGAAAACCCTGTGGAGCACAGTTACACTCTGACACACATGGGGTCACCATCAGTCAAAACTGATTAGATGGCAACTGGATTTGTTTTATTGTTTTTCTAAACTGCTATCTGCTACCTGAGGCAGCCAAGATGCTGGACAGTTGCCTCTGTTTTTTTTTTTTTTTTTTTTTTTTTAAACGAACACCTCTATAAAAAAGTCTATATACATTGGTTGAGCAGATCAACTTAAGGCAATGGGATCCTCTAGGGAACAGGTCAAATAATGATAGTTCTCTGGGAATGGGATTTTAAGGAACTTTCATCCCATTCTCCCCCTGCCAGTATTTGCAGGGTTTTTGCCATGGTTGTGGGCTACTGACTTTCAGTGCTATCACAGGACTGGTGGTGCAGTGGGAATAGGGCAAGTTAAAATGCTCCAAAGCTCGTT